GTGTGTGTGTGTGTGTGTGTGTGTGTGTGTGTGTGTGTGTGTGTGTGTGTGTGTGTGTGTGTGTGTGTGTGTGTGTGTGTGTGTGTGTGTGTGTGTGTGTGTGTGTGTGTATATCAATGGTCTGGCATCCAACTCTGTTGAGGGGCAGACAATAGTCAAAGCCTCTGTACAGTCACGGCTGCAGAAAAAAAAAAATCATTTTTGCAGACTTTCTAAAAATCAGATATTCGAAGTAGAAACCCAACAGTAGTAGCACAGGATGATAAGCCTACACAAATCCACGATGTTAATGTCGGTGAGTATCTTTCTATACAAGTGAAAGCACCTGAAACCAAATAATATCGATTCAGATATGTGGGATGAAAACTGGTCAGAAGATGACATTTAAACCAACAGCATTTATTCATTATAGCAATGAACTGAACTAGAAAATTGTGACAACGTATCATGCCGCAATGTTAGTTTTGGAAGTGAATAAAAACGTGATATGTAAAAGTTGTAATTTTTTAATTCTGAATTTGTGACTGTGAAGTTTAACCCTTTCCGTAAGGCCTGTTGCATTTCGTATCCCCTCAACTGGTGAAGGACGTTCATGCAAGAAACGTACGGTTACTCTGAGCATTCGTCACAAAACCTCTTGTGATTTTGTTAAAGTTTACAAGTATTTTCTACATAAAGAATGATGTTATTATAATTACATCTGTCTATTAAAAATGTTATTTATCTATAGTGGTTATCGTCACTCAAGTTGTTAAAAATAGTTTGAGTGCAAGGTGATTATGATTTTAAGTATAAAAATACTTTTCTTCATCTTATGGTTTTGCATAACCCCTAGAGCCTCCTAAATGAATATCAAACGTTTTTTTAGGGTAAATCTTTTTGTATTATATTTTCCATTTTCTCTACCACATCACTAACTAGCTATTATCATCATCAATGTGCAATAAAATGATTAAAATTAGGAAATAGAATAAAACGTACATGCCTTTTAATGTTTTGTAGAACATCTTTAAAGATACCATTTTGGTTATATTGGTCTTTTCCTTGTCAAATATAATTATTTTTTTTTTTTATTTTCCTTTCTTGTCTTTTACCACCTAATCTTCATCTTGACACAAATTAAAGGTATCCTTCAGGAATATTAGTGTCTTTTTAGCCGACATGCACAACCCTCGGCAAAACTTAATGCACTGCATCGTAATATCGTAAGCCTTGAGAAATGATGCGAAGTTTAAACCATTTAATTACGCATTTTGAAACATAACTCAAATATAATAATAAGACCTAAATACAATTGAAACTGTATCTCTAACTATACCATAATGAGGTAAGAAACAGTTGTAACTGCTATAGTCAATCAAGCAGCCAACAATACTACAGTCAATTACATGTGCCCCATGACATCTGCCTGCCAATTTCAAAATAACCAATGTTAGATTGTAGTGTAAAATGAGATCTTTTTAATGACTATATACAGCGTATGTAACCTCTACATGTAGGCTATAAAGCTCAAACAAATCTGTTAGAGGTGGGTGTGGTACCTGTCAATGGTTAACAAAATTTATTACTTGTTTCAACTGCATTCTTTCAGAGAAGTTTGAAATGTACGAGTCAAAAGGTTATGTAAACATCTTATAGTTTGGATGTACATCTACACAACTACCATTGTATCACTGAAGACACTGAGTGCCAAAGTAGAGAATTTTCAAAGCTTGTTGGTCAAGTGCTGAAGTCAAGTTTTTTTTGAAGGTTTCTTTTGAAATAAAGGGCTTAAGACTTGCATAACATAAAACTTTGAATCACAACATACACTATAACATGAATTTAGTTCACATAAATTGATAGTAACCATGTTTAATTAAATTTTGAATGTAACACGGTGACTTGTGTAGAAGTGTTTAAAGAGGTACCCATTGCAAAAGGGTTAAGCAGATAAAAGTTTAAAATTTTTGACAGTGCAACTGTCATTGTTTTATGGTAAGAAATACAGCAAAAGCAAAGTCTTGAGAAATTCTGACAAATTTCTCACAATTGTTAACTCAATAACTTTCAAAATTTAGATTAAATTATGATCATATTTGTTACTTTTTTAGTTTGATTAATATTCTCTAATAACAGATATTTCAAAATAGAATAAAAGATGCAAAAAAAGGCTTTCTTAACCATTTAAAACGGCTGAAAACCATTTTTACTGCCTTGGATTTGCAAAAGGGACTATGTAGCTCCCTCAACCTCCTGTCATTTTGGTCTCTTCACTTAGGCCTCTCTGTTGAAACTGGGGAAGACCTTGAAGAAAACCTCCAACTTATACCAACTTGTACAAATATCTTTGTCATCCTTTGAGATGAGCTTGTCTTACCACAAAGATCTAACACAGACACAAGGCCAAACTGGTACAAGGTTTTATGAGATAGCCATTGCCATGTATACAACTTTTACTTAAGTAAAAAAATTAACACATGTTTATGATCTTTTGACATTCGGTTTACAAAAAATGCTGTAAAACATCAAAATGAAAATTTAAAAAAAAAATCACCAAATTACACTTTACTAAAGATATATTCTAAATTAGTTGTGAATGGGTAAAATTAACACTTATTTCAACTGCAATACATCTTTTTTTTTATCAGCAGGATGAATTCAGGATCACATGTTCTGGATAAGAATGAAACACATACAAACAGCACGAGAAATTAAAACACAAGTATATACATATACAAGCCTAAGTTAATTAAAAATCCCAAGATACAGTTAAACAAAGATTATCATATACAAATGTGTACTAGTCTCTCTTTTCACTTATCAATTTTTTCTTGTAAAAGTTTGTTATAAAGTCATTTCAATTATTTCTCAATGGGATTTACATTAATAACCAGGTTAACCCTAAGGTTAGGAGATGCACCCAAAGGGCCTGAAGCATAACCACCAAAGTAACCATAGGGTTAACTTCAAGTTCAAGCATTCAAGAAGAAATATATATTTCATCTTTGTTTCTAAACATACAGATATAAAATGTATGCTACAGTTTGCTTTACAAATTTATAATTCAGACTTCAATCAGAAATTCAACTGCTTTGTTAGAGTTTACTAAAACGGATCTTTCGTATCAATCAGTAAAAGTCAAGATTCGCTCGTGTAAAAAATATTTAAAAAAATACCTTTTTATCAAGATGTAGCTTAGATACATTGTTTCCAGCTAGAACCTTTAACAGTGGCTTTAAGTCTGAAGCATAGCGACACAGTGGTCCCATTGACAAATACGGACATATTGACTCATGGGCTGGAGGATACTTTCCAGCATTGGATAAGATGCCTATTTCAAAATGATAAAGTAAACAAAACTGAGGTGTATTTTAATGAAATCAGTACAGTTCTTTGTTCATCTTCTTAGTAAACTTATTGTTGACCATCGTTTGTTTTCTGTTTCCTGCTAATTTTGTTTATGAAAGTATACATTCCAAAAGAAATCCAGTTTAAAGTACCATGTTTTTATAAACAAAATAAATGTTTTATAGATGAAAGGATGGAACTAGTGTGTTTCAGAATTAATATAATAAATCTGTTTGTTTTAAAACACAAAACAAAACAACGGGCTACTTGCACCTTGCTCAACTGAACACAATAAAGTTGCCATATGTTGAGTCTGGTTTTATTATACGTTGCATAAGAAGTTTGAGGTAGATTATTGCCTCATAAATGAGCATAACTTACTATGCTCCATAAAGAATTACTTTACATTTGAACATGTACCATAAATCAGATAATATATATATATTCATTTATATAACAAGGCTGAAACAACATATCTGACAAAGGTTAATACAAACAAGTCTTAAGAATTCTATGATACGTGCATAACAAGCTATATGTTACGAATACTTAACACTCTAACATTACTTATATCACACTATGAAATAACATAAGTGCTATATCTATTTACTTAGAATGTGTTGTTATAATGAACAGTTATGTTACTTGTTTTGGAGTTACATAAAACTACATTAAATAGAAAGATGTTTCTACTGACACGTTTCTACGAACATTACTTATGTCACACTATGAAATAACATAAGTGCTATATCTATTTACTTAGAATGTGTTGTTATAATGAGCAGTTATGTTACTTGTTTTGGAGTTACATAAAACTACATTAAACAGAAAGTAAGATGTTTCTACTGAAGTCCACAACAATTAAAGATACAAACCCGAGGTTGGTTTAAGGCCGAAAACACAGTTAAAAAAAGCTGGAATACGGATACTTCCCCCAATGTCAGATCCAATACTAATAACTGATCCAGCAGCACCTAGCAGACACCCCTCTCCTCCTAGCCAGTTAAAGGAAGACAAAACAGAAATATCTGTGACTGAAAATGTTAACGTTATATAGTGATAACAATTAAGTATTTATCAACCTATAAACTGTCTTAAGTACGAAACTGAGATACTTTGCATGTTTAACTCAAGTCAAATCACTTGCTGAAAATACACTTGATATATCTCGATATACAGAAACAAGACGGTACTTTTAATTTCTATAATATGCCGGTCCAAGAATAACTTTTAACACAGTTAAGGCCACATGTTGAATGATAGATTTCACTAAGTAAATACACCTGTCAGTGTTTGAAATCATTCATTTTATAAGAAACCCATCATAAGACATAATGCATGGTATATGCATGAATGACTTCAAACTTTAAAAACTGTTTTAAAACACCCTTACTTGAAGTTTCAGCAATTATAAATAATGGCTCAAAAATAAATATCTGGAAAAGCTATGTTAGCAAAAAATATCTAAAAATTTCATTTACATGTATAAACAAAGTAAAAAAGTTTGAGAGAAATAAAAAGAACATTTCACCATATTAATCTGACATTATCAAAAGAAATACATTGAACAGAATATCAAAAATATCTCTAGTTAAAACTATCGTGGTAAAGTACGAGTATAGAACATTTCACTAGTTAACCTGGATTAATTAGATCAAATATCTCCAGTTAAAACTATCATGGTAAAGTGTGAGTATAGAACATTTCACTAGTTAACCTGGAATTATTAGATCAAATGTCTCCAGTTAAAACTATTACAGCAGAACACGTGTTAATATTACACATGATTACGTAACATTAAGACTATCATGAAAAGAACACATTCAACCTGATAATGTTTGGTTTTTGAATAATAAAAACAAAACATGCATATAATTTTTGCCACTTACTATTTTCTTTAGAAAGAATCCCAACTTTTGAAGAATGAATGGAACGTTTACGACTAAGATTGTATTCAAAACCTGGGATTTTAAATGTTCGTTAGTCCCGTTGAAAAATTAGATTCTTCTATTTAAAAGCTTTCACAGTCTTCAAAGTTAAATTTTGTTACATCGGTCACAAAGTGTCTTTATTAAGAAACATTTTTTGATTTTTCATACAGGATATATTTTCTTAAGATGAACAAAATCTTATCGGCCACATTATAAGGAAAATTAACTAAATTAAAAGTAGTTCAAAATTTTATTTTAAGTTTACCAATTTTGCATTCTTACCTTTATGAAAACGGAATTATAGAACTCCCGATTTGTGATTAATATTGTGAAAACAGTTCTGGTTAACATATATTTGTGTATCCATCTTTACCAAAACTACATATCTGAAGTTTATCAGGAAAAAAATTGGAGAAAGTTTAGATTACAATTAATTTTATTTCAAGAGTTCAATGAACCATTTCACAAACTGTATTCCTAATTTAGTGAAAAACATGAATTTCGACAATATAATAAAATTTTTTTATATTTTATTTAAGAAAGGACCAAAAACCATACATCAACATTGGATTCATTGTGAAAAATCCTTACCAAAGTGAGTCTATGTGGTTCTTGAGAATAGAAACAAGCAAGCATAACAAGTACATTCTATGATAATCAACGATCTAGTAAAATGGAGAAAGTTCCAGATGGAAAAGAAATTGATTAAAACATGATCCACAGAATGTCCCGTACTTAGGCCTTCAGATTGGTAATCTTTCAAACTGGTAATACGAACAGGAGACAGTACAATGAAAGCATTAATAATTTTCTAATAACAGATAGAACTGCAAAAAGTTTGGGATTCAGAAATCATTGATAAGTACCTATATAACAGTTGTATTAACACCAAAGAGTACCTATAACAGTTGTATTAACAGGAATTTGAGCGAAGAATTTTTCTCATAAAAACTAACCATACAAAGTGGTCAAAAATGTTGAAAGCTTTTAACGAAACAAAGCTTTCTAAAAAAGAAGCAAAATTAACAATGGACGAAACAAAACAAAAAAAGATTATAGGTGAGAGTTTTAAATTTTGGAACAATAAATTTTAAAGGAACATCAGGTGTTAGCTACACAAGTGCACTGCCCACCATGGAAACATCAGGTTAGTGAATGTTTGAGTCCATAAATGTATGGGGGGGGTACGAGAATTATGAGGTTAAAGAAAAGGATAAAATTTACTAGAAAAATGGGTTAACTTATTGAACTGTAGCATAAAAAGTTTTTAATTTATCTTTGTTTATCAAGGAAGTTCAATTTGTTTTGAAATTAAAAAAAAGTAATTTAACACTTGCCAAAAGAGCTAACCTGGCATCTTGATGTGGATCCAAATAAAAAAATAAGTCAATCGAGAAAGGTTTGCATTGTTTTGATTAGACAAAGGGATGACGTTTGGAGTAGACCCATAACCCGAATATATATATATATATAAAATCATTAGTTTCAATATTTTATGAAACTAACGGCACAGTAAAGACCAAAGATGCAGTATTAAAGCAGATACGTGATCCATTAGCGATTCTGAAATTAAAAAAGTCATTCCTGCAATGAAGGATGCTATAATACCTGGTATCGTACTACCACAGTATAATACATAGAGATTTCATCATGTCATATTTTCATTAATACTTTGTTTGTTTTCATTTTTGAAGTTGTGCCCAGCTTCATACATCAAGATCTCTCAAAATAACCCTAAATCACCAGTTTCTGGAATGACATTCCCTGTTGACCATCCTAGGCTTAGTACTAAAAGATGCCGGACTGCCTCGTGTGACAGGTGTTAAAAGCGATTTATATTTTCTTGCAGTGGTCGAACATACCATAACAGCAACAATCAAGCTAACTAAAAGTCATATTAAAGATTTACAATTTTTTTTTTGCCTTGTTTTTTTTTCATCCAAGGTAATCAAGATTGAGACAACTAAAAACTCTTATAAAAGATTTCAAGGAAATTCACAATGGATCACTCAGGAGACGAAAAAAGGACTTTCAATAACTGACGATTATTAGGAAAACAAACCACAAGAAGATGTCAACAGAACTAGTAATTCGAGGTATTATTAGACCTGAAAAGTCCTTAAATGCATATTTTTGTAGCTAACTTCTAATTCATCTTTTAGTTCTAAACTCAAAAGCAATATTTGAGAGTGGAGGAAAATTACAACTTTTTACACAAGTTAAGTTTCATCATAAGTAAATTAACGGAGAATATGAGCAACTTGTTTGGTCTAAAAAAATTAGCTACTTAACATTAACCCTATCTCTATGGGTCTTGCTATTGTCACGGGTCAAAGGCCATGTCATCGCATTTGTAGACTTGCATTCAAACTTTTATTGAACTACTATTTTAGTTTATCAATAAGTTTGGTATCAAATTGTAGATAATTTAAATTCTAGTATGATCCATTAGTTAATTTCTTAATTTAAAATTGAATCTTAAAAAAGAAATCCTAAATATCAATTTTTGGTTCCAACTAGATGTTCGTGATGTCCAAATACAAAGTCTATAGTTTCTTACAAAATTAGGAACTCAAATTACCGATAATGACAAGCTAGAATATCAAATATGAACCTCCTATATTTTCTATTTGCTGAGATATCGCTACATGTACTGAACAAACACAGTGGCTCTGCCCACCTTTTTTCATTTTTTGAAAAGACTTGCTTACGTACACTTACTTCTGTCTACAGCATGTGAATAACCAATCGAAAGCTCAGAATGTCCCCCTAGTGACTTTCTCAGCATAATTGAGGTATTCAGTGCCAAACTCATTCTTTTAAAGCTTAGATTCAAAAAAGGTAAGGTGAAACTTTAGTGAGGTCAAAATTTCAAGGTTTTTTTAGGCCCAAATACAGCTTAGTTACTAAGTTTGATGAATTACAGTGGAATTCTATGGTATTTATATAGTAATTTATGATTTTTTAGTTATTTCAAAATGTACGAAACTTTAAAAGAATAATTCGTTTCACGTCCTCCATGTGTGAATTTTGATAAGGCTTAGCAACCTACGGCAAGCAGCAAATAAGTTCAAAGTTCGTAACTAGAAGAGCTAATTACTTTCAATAATTCTTTATTTACTGTTCTATGTTTTAAGAAAAATAACTGAAATTGAATAACTTATTTTAATTAGTAATAATGTATATACATATATAACGTATTATAACTGAAATGTGACTGTATTTTACAAAATACTAGTCCATTAAAACACAGCCAAGACTGGTCACTTTGTAAAGACTAGCTTTATATTCTTGGATACTGTAACATCAGTGCACGTGCGCCATGTCATTGCAACTTCGATAATGTTGGCCAGGCACAGGTGAAAGGTCAATACAATAAAAATAATAAATAAATAAATAAATATATATAATGTTATGAAATGTAGGTCAAATCAAACCAACCCGTACAGATATACAGTAGTGAAAATAAAAGGTAAAAAATAGTTTTTTTTTCTAAAAAAAATTTGATAATTATCTGGAGGTTAAAGATTTTGCATGTGAAAGTGTTTTAATGCACAAAAGTATTTTTAACCTTAAAAGCTAAATTACTTTGCACGTTGGATAGTCAAGATTCGGATAGAAAACATTTTATGAGAAAATTTTTAATTAAAAAAAAATCTTATTACTTGATTTTAAAAATCCTGATATTTTGTGTACAAAAAAGTTTTGTAATGTTTACCAATAACCTGCAAAATTTTGTAAAGACATGCATACATTATCAAAAATCATATTATAAGTACTCTCATGGATACATTCGTGGTTACGTAATGGAAGGGTTAATAGGAGCTTGTACAGACATTGTTCGTGGCTAATAACATACTCGTTAATTCAAGCAATTCCTTACGTTGATCTCGTACACAATTAGATAGGCATGGCATTTTTTATTCTCAAAATTGGTATAACTATTGGTAATTTCCTGTCATGTTTATAGAGGAGTTTTTTTTTAAAGAAAAGTTTTAAACTGACATTTCTTCACAGTTTAGCAGCATTTATTCAGTTATAGAAACTATCTCTGTTTAAGAGTCGAATCCAAAGTGAAGTCAGCTGCAGTTTGTTGATTCTCAATACTTGTCTGTATTATTCTCAGATGTGTTCACTTGTTTAGAGTCGAATCCAAAGTGAAGTCAGCTGCAGTTTGTTGATTCTCAATACTTGTCTGTATTATTCTCAGATGTGTTCACTCATTTAGAGTCGAATCCAAAGTGAAGTCAGCTGCAGTTTGTTGATTCTCAATACTTGTCTGTATTA